CCTAAAATAATCTCATAGAAGCAGAGAGTGGAAAGGTGGCTTCCAGGGGCTGGGAGGAGGATGAAATGGGGAGTTATTGTTCAATATATATGAAGTTTCAATTATGCAAGAAAAGTATGTTCTAGAGATTGGCTGTACAACATCATGCCTATGGTTAATGATACTGTACACTTACAAATTTGTTAAAAGGACAGGTCCTATGGTAAATGTTCTTACTGCCATAAATAACAACAAAAACTTAATAATTACGAATTTCTTAAAAAGTAAGTAGAGATACATCAAGAATGGATGGGGACACTTGTATGACTTTGGAATTTGATCTTTTCTGTGCTATGGCAAGGGTGGAGTTTGGGGGATGAAGAGGTTTTAGACCTTTGGATGTATCATGGGGTTTCTATTTTAGGATAATTCAATCTAGTGGTGGAAGTTAAGATGGAGTGTGGATGGGGGTTGACAGGACTCAGAAATAATACCACTGACATGGGTTGCTACTTAGAATAATGTAGGTATTTTAAAGCCTTTTCAATCTCATAGAGGCTTTCCCTCTCCACTGATGGGTGTGTTCTTGTACATTTAGGGTGGGGTATGTGTGTGTTTAAAAAACATCTCTTTCTTAATGCATTGACTTGTAGGTACTCAGTTTTTGCTGCCAGAAATGGAATCCATTCATTTCACACTCTAGCTGTCACTAGTATTTAAGAATTTAACTGCAATGCTTGGGGTTTCCTTAGATTCTACAACAAAAAGAGCTTAATTTGTTTTAGTATTTACTTTTATCCTATTTTCTAGTGTCATAATTTTATTACTCACAAGCATTGATAAATCAGTGTCTTCTGTTATAATTTTCACCTCTCTCTCTCTCTTTCTCTCTCTCTCCTCTTTTAATGTAATGCTCTGAGCATGGTGCCTAGCACTTATCTCTCAAAAAATAATACTTCATTTTTATCTTCCCTATCTCTTTTTCAGTGTTTGGAAAAATTGTCCAGTAAATATGCCAAAGTAAGGTAGTTTTATTTTTAAGTAATTATTTACTTTTTGTATTGTTTTAAATCTCTTTTTCTTTTCCTATAACCTAGAACTCTCTCAACATTCTCTTTCATTTAAAAACATTTACAGAACACTTATTATATAGGTAACTGAAACATGAACAGGACCTACCCTCCGTCCCACTGAAGGTCTCAATTTCCTAGGAGATTTGGACACTGGTTTAAATCATTGAAGATTGAATAAAATAACAAATGTTATATAAACACAAGTAAATTGCTGGGTTTCTTAGTTTTTTATTCCAAATTTTATTAACATATTTCTCAGTGTTTGATAAATTGTTTAAATTCAAATGCATAAATTTCACTATTTTTTTCCAAAGCACTCTTAATATTACTGCTATTTTATCAAAAATTTATTTTATCTTTTCCTTGTTTTATTTGTGATTTTGTGTTGTTGTCTTCCTTCTCTCTTCTAATGGCTTTAAATATTTATTTAGTATGTATTTTAGTTTGACGGTGAGTTTATTGTGTTAGCATTTCCTTAGTAATAGTAATAGCATAAATTAATATTCTTTTTGCTGGGTGATTACTCAGTTAATACTACTACTTTGTATTGTGTGCTTGTTTTTTTCTTTGTAAACATATCTTTGTAGGCTACAATTTATTGTGTTTTATTTTGAAATTTAGAGGAGATCTTTTCTAATAGAAACCACTACGATGTCCACAATAAATGGTTATTTCTTACACATGTTGGATTTTCCTTTTTATCTGACAAGTTTACTGTTGCTATTCCTAGAGTTCTATTATGTTCTATTATGTATCTTATGTGTAATAGATGCTTTTAAACTCTTCCTCTTTTAAACTCATTTGAAAGATAACTGTAACTCCTCTAATTTTCCTTATCCTTGAACATATTAACATTAATATGGGTTTTTAGGGTCAGTTGCAGTGGCTCATGCCTGTAATTCCAGCACTTTGGGAGGCTGAGGTGGGCAGATCACCTGAGGTCAGGAGCTCGAGACTAGCCTGGCCAATGTGGTGAAACCCTGTTTCTACTAAAAATACAGAAAAAAAAAATTAGCTGGGCATGGTGGTGGGTGCCTGTAGTCCCAGCTACTTGGGAGGCTGAAGCAGGAGAATTGCTTGAACCCGGGAGGCAGAAGTTGCAGTGAGGAGAGATTGTGCCACTGCACTCCAGCCTGGGTAACAGAGCAAGGCTCCATCTCAAAAAACAGAACAAAACAAAACAAAGCAACATGGGGTTTTAGGACTCTTCATATTTTCCCTCCTAAGTTTTTCTGTTTTAAAATTAGCAGAGTACTTCTACTCTTTGAGGAACAGGAATCTAGGCAGCCTCTTGACCTACCCTCTGTTAGCAGATGATGTCAATTTTAGCAAATCTGGCTACAGGTGTTCTTAGGTCCGTCCAACAACCTTAATGGACACGCCGGCTCCAGATCAATGGAAAATGGGGTTCGAAAATGGGGCTCAGTCAATGATAATTTAAACTGTTTTCCAGCTGTTCTATTTAACACCAAGAGGGCACGTTAATATCACTTCCATTCTGAGTTCCTTTTCAAGGTAAGTGTTATCTGCGGCATTGAATTTCACATTAGCCATATACTTTCACCCATAGACACAGTCCACGTGAAGGAATTCTGGAGAGACAACTGCCTGGCAGCAAAACGGACTGTGCCCTAATTTTACAAAAACTTCTTAGAGGTTACAGAGGTGAGAAAAAAAAAAAAAGTATGTGTTGCTAGCATGAAGGTTGGTCTAAATGTGAAGTAGCCTTGACATCTGGCAATTTGCAAAGATTTGGTACATTACAGGTACCGTAGTTCAAGGCTGGTCATAGGACCAGTGGACCAAGAAACAGGGATATGGTTTGGGGGGGCAAGGTAGATGCTCTTTAAGAGCAGTCAACTGTTATCAATTTTTTGAAAAGATCAACATCTAAGAGTAAGGCCAGGACAGTACATTTAAGAGTTAACCATGACTTTTCTCAAAAAACGTGACAAAAAAACAAGTCTGAGAAAGTACCTTTTTGTTCCCTTTGTGGTTTGGAGCTAAGAAGTGTAAATGGGTGGAGGTACGCTTGAGGTTTACATCTTCTTTTGTTTTTGCATAAAGATTTTAGTTCTTTATACTCTTGGGCACCTTTTGCTTACATACATCCAGCTCAGCTTTGCCCTGCATGGACAGCAAACCACAGCACATGAAAAGTGCCACCAAAAACAAAGTGAGGCTAATGTCACAGATATCACGAATTCCCCAAAACCTAAAAGGGATGCTTACATTTTCCTTGTCCTTTAGTCTAAAAGGTAGCTTTAGCCCAGAAATTAATGGGACAAGTTATCTTGTCATGTCTATGAATAACAGAATAAAGTCCACAACAGAGTTTTGAAAAACTGTATAGATACAAAAAATAATAATAACCTCAGGACTATTTGTACAAAAGGGCAAACTACTGGTGTGTCAGCAGCTGTATTTCCTAATGTTACACTGTGCCTACAGTTCTAACTTGTAACTACTAAACAGGAAGGTATTTTTTCCTTTCTCTCAGTTCACTCACCTCCTGTAATTGATCTTACATTGATAGTGAGCAATTACAATCTCCGCAAAAATAAAATGATAGGCCCGTTAAATGTATGTTTTGTATAACCACAACAGAAGGAAGAATCCCTAGTTTCCCCAAGACCAAATATAATTTTATTCCAAGCTTCTCAAACTACCTGTGGGAAAAGGATAATTTTATTTTTTTAAATTTCTAATGCTGATTGTTTCATAAAATAGAATAAAAATCAATTACTACAAAAATTATTAAAAAGGCATAAAATGCAGCTCTTTTTTTATTATTAGATTCAACAGACCTGAAATTTCTTTGCCAAACGTCTATAAAAGTTTCTAAAGACTTACTCTCAATTTCAGTACTCATCTTGTCAGAGATAAACATTTGCAGACCTGCATTGGCCTGTTGATGGCCTTGGAATATAACCTTTCTATAGTTAAATATTCTGAGTGAATATTGTGATTAATATTTTTTTGAATGCCCATTAATTGAAATCTATGTATGTATGTATGTATGTATGTATGTATGTATGTATCTATCTATCTATCTATCTATCTATCTATCTATCTATCCATCCACCCACCTGTTTATCGTCTATCTATGATTTACCTATCCATCATCATCTATCTTTACTTTGTATATTATTGCTTCCCTAGTTCGAGGTCATATGCTTAAATGCTATGTTATTCTATTTTCTTTTCTAAATTTGTTTACTTGTGGCTACAAAAACATCTCTCACTAATGGATCCCAAACCAATTGCAAGAAAGCTGGGAAGAATGTGTGTGCTCTGTGTGTGTGTGTGTGTGTGTGTGTGTGTGTGAGAGATGTTGGTTATTTCTATAACAATTTACTGCAAAGTGTTAAGAACTTGTGGGAGAGTAGTCACTTGGCTCTGGTTAGTGAATGTGCTTTTTATGTTTTCTGACTGCAGATTTTTAAGTCAATAATAAAAGTTACATTAAAAAATGAATCTGTTTATATTTTAGGCTTTGTTTCCTTTATTTCTTAATATTAATCTTAAGGGTAATGTTTTGATGGCAGAAATGCTTTTGGATATTCTTGGTTATACCTCAAGGTTTTCACAATGAATAGCTTAACTGACCAATCTTTTTTCTTTTTTTAGATACTTTACTGCTGTTGATTTTTTCGTCATAGCGTTCATTTTTCAAAATTATGTTCTGCTTAATTTGAATCTTAAATTATTTGTTACTTCTCATTTTTAAAGGTGAAGGACTTAGTTAACAATCTTTTTCAGTCCCTATGTCTTAATTCTGTTTTCTATGACCTGCAGAGACCAAAATTAGCATATCTGAGACCTACCACTCATTGTAATTGCTTTATCCTAGATTTGTGTTGATTTTCATCTAAACCCTTATCTTCTGAAAGTCTAAAAGGCAAAGTCTGAAGCTATTCATCTTCTTGTATCTTTAATATTACTTACCTTCCTCCAGGACTCACGTAAGATTATCCTTGCATTTGGAAGGAAGGGAAAAATATTTTTCTGTCTACTCTCTTCTAGATTCTCAGTTGAAGCTCTGCAACAAAAGATAGGTTAATGAGCAAAGAACTAACAGAAGTTTACTAATGTGTATATCTCATATGTACATGAGAGAAACTCAGGGATAAGTAACTTAAAGGTTTGGTTAGAACTCGGACTTACATAGCAAAGGAACAATAAATTTTTAGAGAAGTGACAAGACAGAGGAAAGGGACTTTTAACCTCTAGGAATAGTAAATTGTGGAAATGCAAATATATGAAAAACTAGTGGTAGACGAAGTGTAGTTGGTAAAGCTTATTCTGCAGATCCTTCTGGTACCATCCCATCTCCAGGCTGACAAGGATCTAAAGTTGTCTCTATGTAAAGGTGATTAACTTTCATCTTTCCTGGTACAGAGGTGAAGAGGTGCACTTTTGCAAATTTACTTGCTAATTTTAGGAAAACAGGTGGAGGGCAGAGCGCTGGTTTTTCCTTTTTTTTTTTTTTTGTTTTGGTATCTATATCTTCACAATTTTTTTACTCAAAATTATTATTATGCCAAAGTGGCATTTTTGCTACCCATGACATTTAAGGTCATAAAACTTGAAAATTAGAGGAAAATTTTTCTCTTCCAATATTGTTTCTAAGAAAAAAATCAATGGCAAATTAAAATTAATGTCCATATGAGATTTCATATCTGGGATTTTAAAAGTAATGTGCAGTGAAAAATCACATCTCTAGTTATACAAAAATAAATGCAGATCATGGAATAAAAACAAGAGCTAAGGAATAAAGAGAAAAAGGAGATAAAAACACATATGAAAATCTCTTCTGAAACAGCACCTGGATTTGAGAAGAAAATTAAGTTGCTCTCTTGTATAGCACGGTAACTAAGACCATGGACTCTGGAGCCAGATATCTATGTTCAAATCTATCTGACACCATTAATGTAATTGTGATTGGGGTCAAATAACCTCCTTAAGTCTGAAATAAGTGGGGATATAAAGAATACCTTTCTTATGGTATCATGAGGAATAAATGATTTAATATATTTAAAGCATTTAGCATAGTGGCCGAGGAACTACAGGTATCAAGATGAATGTGACATACTTTATGTTCTTTGAGAGCTATCAGTAACTCCTATAAGCAAAATATAAAGCAGTGAAAGTTAAATGCTTGAAGACGGACAAATGATGGACAGATAGATGAGCATAGCAGTGTGGGTGTTAGAGTATCAATTCAATAAATAAGGAAACTGAGACCCAAAGAGTTTGTGATCTCTTGGTTAGCAAGATCACAGGCTGAGAATACAACTTCTTTTGCCATCTCCAAGGAGAGAACCAGGGAGGGAGGCTTTTTGTCCTCTGTGCAGCATAAGCTCAATTTCTTTGCTTACTAGCTGCGTGGTCTTTGGGGAGTTGTTCAGCTGCCCTGAGCCTTAATTTCTGTATCTATGAAACAGAGATGATAGTAGTACTTACCTCTGAAAATTGCTGTGAGTATTAAATAAGATGATGTGTATAAAGGGCTGTGCAGAGTGCCTGGTTTACAGCAAACATTCAATAGATTTTAACCTCTATTAATAGTAACATTTTATGTCATCTCAATACTATTTGTGGAGAGTAGATTAGATACCTGGAGATACATAGTCAAGTTTAGTACTATTTTTGTATCAAAGTTTTGCTTCTGAATAGAGAATACAAGACAGGACAATCAGAAATAATAAATACGTAAATACTACAATTACAAGGCAAAGTCTTCCCAGAAGAAGTAATTAATTGCAAAACGAAGTGACATGAGTTTTCCTCCTTTCCCTTTAAGCTCCCACAAGAGGCTATAAAATGCCTCAAAATATTCCAATGTATGTGCTTCAGAAAAAAAGAGAAGAAAAAAACCTGTGGATAATGCAGTTTATATAAAGTCCCTTGGGCAATTCCTGGCACCCAAAAGGTGTTCAATATAGGTTGAATTGCTTCTTTATGTAAATGTTTCTATGCCTTCTCCACAGATATCCAATATCCCCAAAGTATGTTTGTCAACCTCAAGGTCTGAGTAATGCCAAAAAAGAAAAAAAAAAAGAAAAAAAATACCCTGTCCGTTGTAGGGGAAAGTTATGGCATTCATTTGCACATAATTTGGATTAATAATAAAGAATCTAGAAATATATGCTTTTAAGGGCTGGTTTTAAAATGTAATAAGGCTAAGCCTCTGAAAGCTATCTTTTTTTTTTTTGAAAGATGATTGTGGCCTGAATGATAATGAGTGTCACTGACAACCAAATAAGTTAGAGAACTCTTGGAAGCAAGACTTATGATGAGAAAAATCACAAGTAGTTCTAAGGTGCAGAGATGCTATTCTGTGAGCCGTTCAGTTGCTAATTCAACGTGAGTTCCCTGAGGCCTGGGGACACACAGCAACCTGTGTCAGGCCCTGGAGACAGCCCGTGAAGGGTGGGGCAGAACCCTGTTCAGGTGCCCAGGTTCCCATCAAAAGACAACACATACGCTCACAAGTCAACCAAATTACATTGTCCAAGGTCAATAAACATTCTGTAATGAGGAATTACAATGCAGAATGAGATTCAAGCCAGATGAGAGGCATAAGCAGTAACTTCTTTGAGTTATGGGGACAAGAAGGCACTGAGGAATGCAAGGACCAGGGAAGGTTTTATGGAAGAGGTGAGATCTTGAGCTGAAACTCAGTGGATGCTCAGCAGCAGAAGATGCATGAAAGAGCTGAGTTGCCAGGACCATGAGAATAGTCTGCTATATAAGGTGAGCACACAAAATAATGTTCTGTACTTGGGAAACCTACTGGGGCATCTCTTAGAATTATCATGCTATGGCTTGATAAAATGTGGTAACTAGCGACCTAGACTCCTCAGGGAGGGTGATTTTAGTAGCCCCTCCAGGAAGGTCACCTACACTGACAGAGGCACTAGCCAAAGTTTCACAAGGAATCTAAAACAGTGTCAGAGAAGGGAGATAATGACCATCATTTATGGCCTCAGCTCTAAATGCTACAACAGATTACTTTATTCCACTAAGTTTTCTGTTTATAAATTTTCTCCCAGAAATTGTGACTAACGAGAAAATGTAAGAATCTGTGACAGATGGGACAAACTTAACGTGCCCCACCTAGAGCATTTCAGGGCAGTGTTTCCAATGCTTGATTGTCTATTGGGAATAGAATAACCCAGCTCCTTTGTCTTAAGTCATGACCACCCTAGGGTATATTTTATACTTCAGAGCCTTCTGTAGAACAGGCTGCAGTTGGAGCTTCCTGAGAAATCACACGTCAGCTTGGCTTCTTCCCTTCCCTCTCCTGCTTCCTGCCTGCCTTCTTGTAAGAGAACATCCTTAATACATCATTTATACTGGGATCCCTGCATCAGGATCTGCTTCTGGACCTACAAGAAACATGCATTGGATGTGGATTGAGCAAAAGTTTAAAGGACAGAATCAGCACATTTAATTTGCTTGAGGTAACTGTTCTCATTTAGGTAGAAAAGGAGTGAATGAAAGTCTGAGAATGAGTTTGGAAATCCAGTTATTGGATGGTGTATTGCAGAAACTTAATGAAACTAAATAAATTCATAATTATTTTTTGCCTGCCTATCAGCTGAGACAGCTTATTACACATGCAACAGCTTAGATTCAACTGAAATGTAATAGAGTTTGTGTTCTTTGTGCTACAAGAACCCATGACTTTCTACCTAAGGGCGCCCTCTGCCATGATAATATGCTTGACCTGATGTCAGGTGGGCTGAAATGCAGGGAATTAATACCCTCAGGACAGCTGTCAACTAATAGCTAATGGGAATTGTTAAATTAAATATTTCAGATGTCTTACTGCTCAGGTGAGTCATCTCTGAGGCTGTTCTGCTCCATCTCCTGGAGACTGAGACCTTGTTTCCTACAATGATATACCCCTTTAGCTTCTTTTTCTTGCCTCTCTCATTCTCCAGCCCCCTACTGATGTTTCTTGGGATCCCATTTCAAATCTATTTGCAATAATCCTGTGTCAGGGTCTACCTCTGGGGGAACCCAAATTAAACCATGCAGTTTCCACCTCAGAGCTTTCCTACTCCTTTGAGTGCCCTCTCCTGAGATACAGCATCTATAAGAGGCAATTTACCTATGGCACTACTCTGTAGTTTTGGGGTGTGCTTCTTCTGAAGTTATTCTACACTTTGTAACTCATATTTATGAATATAGTTAGTAAGGATACATACTTTTGTTTTTTAAATTGTGACTGTGATCTTAACAATCTTGAGTGATATTGCAGACAATACATTTGGGATAAAGAAAACCAAGACTCATATTAAGGAAATCATAAACCATCCCAGAAGTGGTGTACAGCTATTCTGCAAGTCACCAATTCAGGCAGTATCTATCAAGTCTTGGGCATGCTTAGGGTACTGTGTGAGAACCAATATAGTTGTGAGTGTGGATGTGACTTTGAGGAATACGTCCCATAGTCATGAAAGCAAAGAGGATGTTCGCATTGGTTAACTAAAAAGGAATGAAACTGATTTCAGTATGCGGCTTGCTCAGAAGATGTCCCAAGAATTAGCTTTTAAGGAGGAATTCTCTCCTGGGTTTGAGTTAAAGAAGTCAATCCTGAAATAAGTGAATATCCAGACCCCCAGAGTGGCTGGTTACTATGTTCTAACATTCATTAGGTTTCATGAGATGTAACACAATTGATTAACATAAATCATTCTATTTCACATTTTACCTCTCAGAGTCTTCAGTTTTTGCTAATTGCTTTTTGTGAGTTTGTCTTGTTTCTACAGGATTTGAGATGTGTTCTGTAAATCCAGTGTATTGTACAATTTTAAACATATACGGTGACTTCACCCACTTTTTAGTTTCACAAGAGTTTATTAAGTACTTATAGTGCTCTAGGCACTGCCTTCTGAGAACAGATGCCCACTCACTACTGCAACCCTATGTCTCCCCTTGCCATGAAAAAACAACAGAGAACACATGGTCTTGACCTGTAGGGAGCTCCTGGTCTAGCTGCAGAGACAGAAAAAGAAGGAGGAACTTGTT